AAAATAAATTGTGGTCAACAATACAGTGTCAAATGTGAGGAAAGGATAATATAAGGACTGATATGTATATTGAAGTAGAATAATTTCAGTGAGTGGAGATGTACAACAGATTAGAAATTAATAAAAAAGGAAAAGGAGTAAAAACTATTTTTTTCAAAATTAGCTATGAATGGAAAAAGAGAGTAAGACAATACAAGATCCAAAATAGCTTTAAATTTTAAGATGTAGACATGTGAACTCCTTTATATGCCAAGAAATGTGGAAAAGAAACTACTGAAAGAAGATATATGAGACACGTCTCATGGAGCACAGATATGGAGAATGTGAATGAAGCATGCAGAGAAATCACCCTTCAACAAGAGTAGATAACATGTTTTCCATTTACAGGAGAATTTTTAAAACAATGATTGAGATGCAAAGATATAGGGAGATGCAGGGCCTTAGAAGCCAAAATTTATAGGCATTCTTACTTTAAAAATTCATGTTTTTCTCAAACATCATATCACTGTAAAAGAGAGGAAAGGAAGAGGTGAAAAAACACCCTAAAGACAGTTACAATTTTCAGTAGCTCCTGTTGGAGAAATAGAAAGAGGAATGTCCCTATGGACACAGAAGACTGCTAAGTATCATTTAGAGTCCAAAGTTGAATGTTGAAGGCTTCCACTTTTGAGTGGGTTATAATAATTGTTGCAGGTCACTCTCCTGCTAGAAAATAATAAGAATAATCAGATCTTTTTGGTGGTACTAGAGATTGAACCCAGGGCCTTGTGCTTGCTCCTCTGCCACTCAGCCACATTCCTAGCCCTTTTTAATTTATTTTGAGACAGACTAAGTTACATTGGCCTTGAATTTGCCATCCTCCTGCCTCAGTCTCCTAAGTAGGTGTGATTAAAGGCATACACCTTTGCGGTGAGCTACAACCCCAGCCTTTTCCATTTTTTATTGTGAGATAGGGTCTCACTAAGTTGCGAACTGCCCAGTCTGAACTTGAACTTGGGATCTTCTGGCCTCAGCCTCCTAGAGTGTGTGGATTACAGAGTGCACCACCATCCCAACTGTAACTATGAATACATTTAGGACAAGAATTGACAGAGCAAAAGACAAACCACCGAGAATTTAACTGATCAGTAAGGCCTGGAATAACAAATAGAAATCTCAGAGACTTTAAAGGCATGAATGATTTTCTCTGTATTATGCAGCAGCACAGGAGATGGCCAGACTGTCAAAAGTAGGAGTTCTCTTGCCCTACTGCTCTAGGTAGGACTTCCTCTGTGTACAAGTGTAGGAATACCAGAGAGTACCTCAAAATACATATAGTTACTATGTATCTATTAAAATTTTTTTAAAAAGCAGAGTTAATGCTCCATCAGTACCACAGGCTTAGAAGAAAGTACTGCCTGAAACAGGGCCCAGCTTGAGGCACAAGTTCGGTTTTCCCTTCAAAACATTTGCTGAATTTTGGACTGAGTAGAATGAGAAGCTAAAGAGCTAGGTTAGGACCCTTTAAAGGCAGAACTGCATCTTCAGAATAGAGAAATCCAAGTTTATAATCAATGGACTGGAATGGCCACACCTGAGGAACATAGGTAAACAAGAGTGCAAACTCACTAAAATGAGAAATCAAAGTAGACTAGCATCTATGATTGCATGGAAATCAAACCTCTCAAGTGAAAGACCCATCTGGACCCTCTGTATTTGTTATATATACAAAAGGTTTTAACATAAAGTTACTTGACATGCCAAGAAAAAACAATATGTGATTGGCTGAGAAAGGAAACAACCGACCTTAGTAGATAATCCAAAGATGATTCAACAGTTACAGTTAATAAATTTATGGTCTTTAAAATAATTATATTATGCAAAAAGAGAAAATTTAGGAAGAAATGAAGTATTTCAGAAGAAAGTTATAGGAAATTTATTATAAAACAAGTTAAAAGAGGACAAATATGAAAAACTGTCACAATGTGCTATGGTTTAAGCATGATTTGTGCCCACCCAAACTCATGTTGAACCTTACTTCCTCAATGTGGCAATGTTGGGAGGTGGGGCTCAGTTGGAGAAGTTTGGCTCATGGGAGTATGGACCTCATGTATGGATCAATGCCTTCTCATATGAGTTCTCATTCTCAAAGAACAGTATTAATTACTGCTGGAGCAGGATGCTATATAAAGTGAGTCCAGCTTGCTTGATGTTCTCTTGCTTCCTCTCTTGTCATGTGACACATTATACTTCCCTCCATGAGGCCCTCACCAGAAGCCAACCTGATGTAGCCACTTTTCTTTTAGGTTTTCTAGCCCTCTGAAATGTAGCTCCAAATAAACGTCTTTTCTTTATAAATTATCCAGCCTTGGGTTTTTTTATTATGGCAATAAAAAAAGACCAAGCCAGCATGAAATACTTCATGGTAAGAAAAATGAGTATTTCCCATCCTAACATTTGTAAAATAGATGTCTGCTGTCATAATTTCTATTAACATTGTAAAGGTTTTTACTGACAGTTGCAATAAGGCAAGAAGATGGGACTATTTGGCCAACAGTTTGGAAGTTTCTTAAAAAGGAAAACATGTACAACATATAGTATGACAGAATCACTGCACTTCTACCCAAAAGAAATAAAAGCATATATCTATCTACATACCTATACATGAATATTTATAGCAGCATTATTTTATAATAGCTAAAAGCTAGGAACACTCCAAAGGTCAAAAATGTGAATAGATTAATAAACTGAATTAAGTATATGGAATGGGTATTGGAATACCACTCAGCAATAATGATACATGCCAACATGGTTGAATCTAAAAAAAGTATTTTGAAAGAAAGTAACTAGAAAAAAACTGCCATGTACTATATTATTCCATTTATATAAATTATAGAAAATATAAACTATCTATGGTGAAGAAAATATCAGTGACTGCCTGGGAATGAGTTAGAAGGAATGGATTTAAAGGAAGACAAAGAAGATTGGGGGTGATGAATGTATTATTAACTTCATTGCCATGGTAGTTTCATGTGCAAGTATACATTCAAACTTCTCAACCTAATGAGAGGTTATCTACAAAAATACCTTCAGCTAACTTTATCTTTAATAGTAAAAATATATATTCTCCTAAATATCAGGCAGTAAGCATTTCTATTCAGTACTGTACTGGAGATGTTATCCATGTAATAAAGCAAAAAAAGGAAGAGAAGAAAATAAGAATCAGAAGGAAGAAGTAAAATTCTATTTGCAGATTCCATGACTAGCTGACTAGAACAGCCTCAGAAATTAGATGAGAACTAAACAGGAAATCTGGCAAGGCAGTAGGAAATAAGGTACATTTAAAAAAATTCTATTTATGAATCTCAGTAAAAATATTTGGAAATGAAATTAAACATCAGTTATCTCTATAATCACATTTGGCAAGGCAGTAGGAAATAAGTTACATTTTTAAAAAATTCTATGTATATCAGTAAAAATATTTGGAAATGAAATTAAATATCAGTTATCTCTATAATCATGATATTGAATGCTTGAGAATAAATTCATCAAAAGATGTGTAAAACAATGAAAATTACAAACACTGTTGAGTGAAATCAAAGATCTAAATAAATGGGGATATATATATATTTATGAATTGAAATACTATTGTTAACATGCTATTTTCCCCATACTGATATATAACTCATTCAAGCTTTTTGGAGTGATTGATAAAACCATTCTACAATATATGCAGATATTCAAAAGGCCTATACTTCCCCAAAAATCTTGGAATAGGTATAGTAGTGGACTGCAAGAATAACCATAAAAGTTCAATAATCAATACTATGGTACTGGCATAATAAAGAGCAAACAGATCAAAATAACAGATCAGGGAACAAAGAAAAAGGCCCACTCTTATATAGCCATATGATTTTCAACAAAGGAACCAAAGAAATTCAATGGAGAAAGGAAAGCTAGTCCAGCAAATAATCTTGAAATAACTGCATAGTCATATAAAAAAGAAATTCAATTCCTGCATAATCACATAAGAAAATATTCACTTGAGATAGATCATATTAATACAAATGATAAAACCATAAAGTTTTTATATTAAACAAGAAGAACCCAGGGCCGGCGATTTAGCTCAGTGGTTCTACCTCCTGCCTTGCAAGTGCAAGGTCCCAAGTTCAATTCCTGGTACCAAAAAAACCCAAACAAAAACAAACAAACCAAAAAAAACCAAAAAGAACCTCTCTGTGATGTAGAACTAGGGAAAGATTTCTTAGGTTATAGAAAACAATAATCATAAAAAACTGATCAAGTAGGCTTCACATTTAAAAATCTTTGTTCACTTAAGACACCATTAAGAAATAAATAAGCAAGATACACACTAGGACAAAATATGAAACCTATCAGTCAAAGGATTGATATCCAGGATATATAAGAACTCCTAATACTCAGTAATAAAAACAGGTCAATCAATAAAAATGAAAAAATGTTACTTTACAAAGAAAGATATGTGAATGTCCAATAAGCACATGCAAAGTGCTCAACATCATTGGTTATTAGGAAAATGAGGATAAAAACCATGGGATACCCCTACATGTCCACTGAAGTAATTAAAATGTCTTAATATCTGAATTTGTAATAGTACCTATCTGCCAAATTATGATTCTATCCAGTAGTGTTATACAATTCTGCTTACAGAAGTGGAGAAATTAGATGTTTGGATTTAATCAAGAAAATGAGATAGAAATGCAAGAGCCTTAAAAATATTGACAAGAAAGTGGTCAGACTGATCATGGGTTTTAGATTAAATAGAGTGGAAAATAAGTACAGGAGGTAACTGGGAGATTAGAGGAAAATGGAGACAGGGAATCTGATGAATTTATAAATACTAGCATCTGAAAATGTTGCTTTTGTTTTTATTAGTCTATGTTCTTATCCTAGAGAAGATGCAATTTCTATCCCATGTAAGAATCAAGAGAGAATTACAAAAAAAAGTTAAAAGTAAAAGTTAAATTAAAAAGTTTTAGTACCTTCAACACTGTACATTTGTACTTTTTCCTCAGGCACAGTGACTGCTTCCCATTGATGATCCTTAAATTTAAGCAGATTTTGAGCATTAATAGTATTTCATTCCTGATTTAAATTTCTTTAAACATCAGTTTTTAAGCTATATAAGCTAAAAGTTATTTTTAGAAATAGCACTAAGTACAAAGTTTCTGTAACCTATTTTTGCTCCACCAACTATGTATTAAAAATACTACATTTAATCTAATCGGTTCTATTTTTTTTTTTTTTTTTGGTAACTGGGATCGAACTCGGGTCCTTGCGCTTGCGCAGCAGGTGGCGAAATCACTGAGCTTACCCCGGCCCAGTTCACTCTTAAAAGGAAATGATGGTACTAATTTTCATTTCTTCTTCTTAACCATAAAAAGAAGTATGTAGTAATACCCTTTTAATTAA